TCCAGCTTGCACCAGGAGGCGCGTGTCATGACCAGACATTGAAACCCACGTGACATTTTAAGACAATCTACCATATACCAAGAAGCAAGTAGAAACAAGTGCCACGCTAGTAGTAACAGGTGCCTTACTAGTAGTAACAAAGAAGCTATTAGAAACAAGAAGCTATTAGTAACAAGTGCCACACTAGTAGTAACAAGTGCCTTACTAGTAGTAACAAAGAAGCTATTAGAATTAACATGCATATTTTGATGATAAAATTCTTGGCCTCCCTGATTCTTCAGGATTTCTGGGCTGTGGTGGAGGGATGTCCTGTCATTGCTGGCTACATGTTCCTCTTCTTCTGCTGTCTGCTGATCCGCAAGTCAGAGGAGCAGGGAAGGGCTTGCGCACTTTGTGTTGCTTTAAGTCGAATTCCATTTAGTTTACGTTACCAAAGCATCTAGGAACCAAATGAATAGCGTGAGCTATGCAGCGTCTAGTTACTAAGAGCGTCCAGTACCTAAATCTTTCTATAGCTTACCTCTTCTGGCGGCCTATACCCTATGCACAAAATGCATCACATGTTAAGTTTCCCTAAGTGCGAGCGCTTCTTCAACCCCACCCTCAGCCCAAGGGAGCTTCCTTGAAGAAGCGTGAGCTATCCTGCTTCCAGTTATATACCAGGCACTTAAGTAGCTCGTGGCTTACTCCCTTACCTAGGACCTAGTAGCTTACTCCCTTACTTAATTATACTCAATTAAGTAGGCGCCTACTTAATTAAGTAAGGGCGGGCTGAAAAAGGCTAAACAAAGGGAAGAAAGTTGCATCCGCCACAAGGAGCTTAGTGGTGGCTTGATTCCTTGGACACGCTGCGTTCCAATCTTCGGCCCAGCCTTAAAGCGTGGTGAGGCAGGTTGGGGTTTGCATTGCTGTTTTCTCGAATGTAGCGGGGGGGGTGGAGGGGGTACCGGGTAGAGGGGTAGGATCCCTCAAAATCATGATCAAGCAGCATACGTGCATCTTTTGCATACAAGAATCTCTTCCCAAGAAACAAACGCAATGCCTTCAACTTGCACCTTCAAGAACCTGATAGTGAGCTATGCATAGCAAACGGGACTCGAATACATGTTAAGTTTCCCTAAAAATCTAGGAACCAAATCTTTAGTGCGAGCGCTTCTTCAACCCCGCCCTCAGCCTGGGGGAGTTTCCTTGAAGAAGGCTGAGCTATCCTGCATCCCAGGTGGTAGCTTACTTATATAGGCTACTAGCTACCTCTTCGAGCGGCCTACCCCGCTTAAAACCATCAAAATGTTTGTACCCGGCCAGGTGTGGCGCTTCTTTACCTTCACCTTTTTCCACTTGCAGTTTCTGGACCTTTTTCAAAACCTTCTTACTTTGCTGGACACTCTGGATGTGGAGGCCGCCTTGCTTGCCTAACTTCCAGACACTCCACAGTTATGGAACATCCTCGATCAAGTCAAGTTGATATATATATATATATGTGTGCATATATATAACCAATCACATGTCCTGCCGCCAGAGTTCAGAATTGCAGTCCACCAAGGACACTGTCAGCCTCTATCAAGTTTTCCTTTTTTTGGCAAATCTAGGTAAGTTTTACTAAGTTTTGCTGGGTTGCTAGGGCACACCTCCCATCATTCTGGGTGATGGCTCCAACTTGAAGTGTGGCGTCACCTGGCAAGCATTTTGAGCACGGGCTGCCGTTGTTGCATGCACTGGAAGGATTTGCTGCCATCGTGTTTGTTGTTTCTTTTGGTATTGGCAAAGATGGTAACACAAAAGTAAATATGAGCCAGAAAAGAAAGGTGGATTGATGTAAAGTAGTATTGTGGGATCCTTCGTTCAGAATTCCACGCACCGCCGCAGCTATTTCTGATGTTTTCTGTCTTTGTGGAATGTGTTATTTAGTTGGGGAACGACCCTCCGGACGACATCCAAAACGACATTGGAACGACCTCCTTAACTACGTACATCATGTATTTGCTGCTGCTGCTCTTGCTCCTCTTGCTCCTCCTGCTCGTGCTGTTGCTCCTGCTCCTCCTGCTGCTCCTGCTCCTTCTGCTGCTCCCGCTCCTCCTGCTCCTCCTGCTGCTGCTGCTGCTCCTTCTCCTGCTGCTGCTGCTGCTGCACTTTCGATGGACAGTATTTAGCCAGATTTCTCGGCGAAAAAACGACCTCTGAACGACGTCCGCATTTCAGTCAGAAGGACCACTACTACTGACTGGTTCTACTACACTACTACTACTACTACTCCTGCTGCTGCTACTACTACTACTCCTGCTGCTGCTACTACTACTGCTGCTGCTGCTGCTTCTGCTGCTACAACTAGTACTACTACTACTACTACTACTACTACTCCTACTACTACTACTACTACGACGACTACTACTACTACTACTTCTACTTCTACTACTACTACTACTACCTACTAGTTACTACCTACTACCTACTACTAACTACTAACTACTAACTACTAACTACGACGACTACTACTACTACTACTGCTGCTACTCCTCCTCCTCCTGCTGCTGCTGCTGCTGCTGCTACGGGTACGGCTACGGCTACGGCTACGGCTACTGCTACTGCTACTGCTCCTCCTCCTCCTCCTACTCCTACTCCTACCCCTACTCCTTTGTACTCCTACTCCGACTGCTGCTGCTGCTGCTGCTGCTGTGTTTTTTGTTATTGGTACTACTACTACCGCTGCTACCATGGTTGCCGCCGTCACCACATATGAAGACCGCCGCTGGTAAATCATACGATTTGCTGTTGGGATCATGATTTTCGTACCATTTTTTTCAACCTCATATGTAGGGCGAGCTTCTTGTCAACCCTGGTTGAACAAGTTGAATCCCATCTCTTGTTGGAACAAAGCCATAACAAGGTAAGAGAATTGGTAGTTGACCATGCTGGTCCAGGTTGGTGCGAAGCAAAACTTCATGTGCTATCCCAGCATTGGTCACGGACTAAGCTGAACATTTTTGTTTTTGCTTTAGATCTTTAAACCTTTCTTTTCTTTGTTTCTTTTCTTGCTAATTCCAAGGCTTGGGATCGACGCACACCTTGGGTGTGTCCTTGGTAAGTGCAGCGATCGGGGGTATGTGCAGCACCTGGGTGAAGTTCAGCGATGTTGTTGCAGGCACACAGGAAGACGTGGGTTGACGGTTCATATGTTGACGACTACTCCTTTCCAAAGCAACCGGAACCGACCATGCGACCAGTAAGACCTGCCCAGAATATGCAACTCATCGTGTAGAACTAGTTTGAAGTGACATACTCCAAGTTCATTGACTCAAAGATACTCTCAAAGATATATCAGTAGCTGCTACTCATAGATGCTGGTGCTAGTATCCTTCATGCTTGATACCCACAATTTGCATGGCATCAACTTCTTTTTTGCAGTGCTGCAACGGCATGTGTCTTCCATGGGTCTGAAACAAGGTAAGCCATTAGACAGTTTTCTTGATATTGCTTTGCAGGATCCTTCTCGCTTATTCTCCTTGGAAGCTGGAACTGAGGTTGTATTCAGCATATCGAAAAGACAAACGAATATTGGCAATATTATCCAATGTGTACCACATTTCTGTTCTCACCAGGAAATTCATTGCCGTGGACGTTGGCATCATGTTGTACTTTTCATGTCAAATGAACCCTTCATTGTTGCAGGTGCATCTGCCCTTGGCTTTGGGCTGTCTGGTGCCATTGTCGCACTCTATGCGCTGTATGCAGGCCTTTGTTGTGGGCTGCCTGGACTCGTGTATACAGATCTACAGAGATACGATGATATACAGATGTATATACTTGATGTTTGAACCCGGTTGACTATCCAGGAATGTCAGGTCAACAAACATGTATCATAAAGATTCAGAAAGCACAGCAACTAGCTCTGTCATTGTTCACCTTCGTTCGGTAAGCATATTGAATTGCGTAGGCGCGGACTTGGACTCAACCTCAAGCGTTCAACGCAGCTTCAAGGACATCCTACTGTAGACGTTTTTCAACCAGGCTTATTGCATGTTGCAGCACAAGGCACCAGAGCATGGCTGTCTCGGAAGAGCTTTGGTCATAGAAGTCAGTTCATGTGGCCCTGCCCTTTTGGATGCCCGTTGAAACACGCTCATTGCACTCTGAAGGACTGGGTATGGCTTCGGTTGATATTTGTTGCCTTCCACATTGCGATGGAGTGGGCTGCTGAGACTGCTTGGCAGATTGGACTACATACATATACAAGCATATACACACATCATAATACATAATCATACCAGATTTGTCAACTCGAGCTTTGTACCTTGCAACCTGATATTGTATTGTGTCTAGCTGCCAGCCAAGAGGTTTTTGTCATGCTGTTTTTTGGAGGTTTGTGCGGGGGATGTCCCAGAGGGACATTGCTGGACTTTGGGCACATACCACTGCCTTCATCAGCGGCTTTGCGCGAGGGGCTCAATGATGAGGGGAAGCACGATCTCTAGACTCCATTCTTCTGCAACACAACTTTGTGTTCCGTGCAGAACATTGGGAACCTTTGTTCATTGCCCTCATCTTGACTTAGGCTTAGTACATCCTTGGCCATGTTCAAAACATTCATCATCTCATCGGAGACATGTCAAGCTCTTGTTTCTTTTTCCCATTGAAAGGGTTTCATGTTTCATGCTCAGTTTTTTGATCAATTAGACTCATGCTTATGCTGTTTTCAGAGCGTAGCTCGAAGAGTCATTTTTGTTGGCCAATACAGCAATTTCAGAGGACACAACTGACCTTGCATTCACGTCATATCCAACCTAGAACATTCGGGACAAACATCATTATTGAGAGATTTGGACTTTTTTTTTCTCAAGCGTTCTTGTAAACATATTCTCGATGCGACTCTCTCTCTCTCTCTCCCTCCCTATGTACTGTTTGAAACAGAGGCTTTTTGTGAAGTCATTTTTGAGATCCTTATTTATCGCAATTCTTTACTGTTGAGCTCCTCCTTGAGGTACGTGCTGTACTTTTTGCCCCCCATGGGCGACGGCACGCTGCTCTCCGCTGAGCGGCCCTACGTTGTGGCTTGTGCTTATGCAACTTGGTTGAAGACCAGTAGCCCCAAGGGGCTACTAATTTCGGACAATACATTGTCTAACGAATCTGTAGTGGCACTCCACACCTCACTTCCCAAAGCAAGTCCAACTTACTACGTGAATTGTGACGACAAGGGGCATTTAGTTGCATGTACGCAGCTGTTTGGGCAGTGAATGGAAGTCAGGTGGAGTGAACCAATAGTTTAAAAGCAACCCATGTCCAACTACATTAGTGACCGTAAATAACATTACAGCTTTGGTCCTGAGTGTGTTCGAGCACCACTATTCAATGTATATTCAATGTACAACAATTGAAGGACCATGCTACGCTAGACATGATGTTTGAGAACCCATTTGCCAAGGACAGCAGTGGCTTTTCATCCTCAGCTCTGATCTCAATGCCGTTTCAATGAAACATCTTTACTATGGTTCGACGTTGTCCGGTGAATACGTATAATATACATATATATATATATGTCAGCTTGTTTGACAACTGGTGCTGCAGAGCTGGTGCTGAACTATTTGCATCTATTTGCAAGTGTCCCTCAGTTCCCTTTAATGATGATATTTCTGCTTGTGCAGGCACCGGAATGCGTCCGGCTTTTCTCTAGCGTTTACGAGTACCAGGCAGGGCGACAGCTTGTCTTCAACTGCCCCATACCTGCGTGACATTGCAACCAACATCATCGACAGGTGTCTGATGTCCAGCGACAAGCATTCCTGTTTTTCTCCACTGTTATTGGCTGGACTGCATTCAATGCAGCCTGGCCCTGGGTTTTCTGCACATGAAGCTTGACCTCCTGCTTTGAGAAAGACTGTTGGAGTGATGTTTTTCAAACTGAACCACCACCACGTCGATATAGTTCTCAAATGACCACTTTCTGAGCTTGACGGACCTTTGAGGTCGTACTTCAACGAAGAGTAAAATCCACTGACGCAGCGGGAGCTGGCATGTTTGTGCAATGTTGCTCCAATGATTTTGCAGCTCTGAACACTCAGATCAAATGCATCCAAATGCTAGCACGTCAATTTATGTCAGATTTAGACTTGCCCTTTGCAAACACTAGCTCGGTGCCTCTCGCGTTCAGAAGCGCTGCAAGCAGGTGCTCCTTGCCGGATCTGAAGTCAGTGCAGTTTGCTGTAATCGTCAGGCCCGAAGTCCGTCAACATTTGAGATTGGTATGGGTAATCAATCGACAGTAGCGGATGGCAGCAACTCCGCCCCCCAAAGTAGGCCAACTTGGGTTGGCTAATCAGTTCCTGATGATGCCGGTATAGTATATCGCCTTGAAGACTTGCCTTTTACTCTTGCTCCAGGGCAAACCAGGAGGAGATGGACTGGCTTCCAATATGGAAAGCAAGGACGCACACTCTGTCTTCTGACTTGATTAATCATGCCCCATACACTCGTGCCATGCACCGCCACTGTGGCTACTGCCTCGAGCTGTACGTTGTTAGTGTTGGTGATGATGAAGAAGATGAAGAGACAGACGAGGAGCAGGATTAGGATGATGAGGATGCGGAGGGCATTGGGCACGTTGTTGATGCACTTTTGACATTGACTTGCAAGAAAGACCTGCTGTCCAGGAGGTTATCCTCTGGTGTGAGGCAACTTGTCCTTAATGAGTTGGAGGGCAATCGGCGACTTATATATATATATATATACCCTTTCCAAGAAGCCGGGCAAGTTAACTTTAGCGGCTTTAGCGGAAGACTAAAGACGAAGAGAACTGGCCACCTTTTTCTGGGTCTGAAGCAGAGAGAAACAGATTCAGTTGCAGAATGAGATAGGGTGGGCCTGAAAAAGGCGGAAACTAGACCGTGACATAGGTGCTGCTCTAAACTGAGATCCCTTTCGAAACATGCCAGGCTAAACAACTCAAATGATCTCATGTAGCGTGCTACATGAAACGGATTGTGTTGGGGACGGACATGAGAGCACTCACTAAGCTTATTGCATGGTTGCTTATTGCTTATGTCATTCTTTTGGCCACTTGATTGGATTTTCCCACATATACGCACGTTCTTTTGTGCAGACTGTGTGCGTGTACAACATTCCTGACATATCACATTGTATGTAATACAGCGCTGGCGCACAGCGAGCACGGAGTCTTGTCTCTTTCATCGTTAGTTTAGGGATGACTACGGCTTGGGTCGCACGGTAGAGCCTTTTGTTGCAGGGAGTTGAGAATTCAGATTCTATGTTTGTCTCATATTGTTGATCATTGATCCCTATCAATCCATTCACCAATTCACCTGCTTATCTTCGCAAGAAAAACTGCCATCGGGGACCGGTGGGACCGGGGATGTTTTCTTTCGTTCCGTACCGACCAGTTCTGGGCAAAGTCTGCTATTTGGTTTGCATGTAAGGAATATTTGGTTGCAAAAGAACCAGTTCCCTTAATTATGGTACTTGCCTAGGTCCAAGGACGTACAACCCCAAAACAAACGGTTGCAGCAGCCAGAACAGAATGCATGAAAACAACTCATGCCGATTAAGCATGAATGCAAAGCATGGCTTTGATACGTATGCTTGATGCGCAAGCCAACTGGCATTTCTTTTGCTTGTTGCGAGGTGCTTGCTACTGTCGGCTGGCGGCCTCCCCCGGCCAAGCTTGCTGAGTTTTGTTGGCCAGCCCTGGATGCTCAATTGGTGGTAGCGGCGTCAGAAATCGCCAGAGAGACAGACAAAAGAACAGACAGAAGCCCACAGCCTCGGAATATCATAGAGATGTTAAAAACCCTGCACAAGTCCGTCACTCAGTCACGCTCATTCACCTACCCTTCAGTCCAACAGTCTCCAACAAAAAGATCAACAAGTTGATATGTTTGTTGATGCTCCCTGCAGGATTTAGAAAGAATCTGAATGGCACCTAAAAGATAACTGGGTTGTGAAACCTTGCACATATTGCACAGCTTATAGCCTTCATGAAAGAATTGTAGCAAGCCAAACACCACCCGGAACTCAATATACCCACAGCATCCCACTGCATGAAAGCACTCTCGATCTTCCTACACTAGCCGCTAGTTAGCATCATATGAGGTTGATTCGGTAGGGAGTAACTTCCAGTGTTCTTGCTCGCAACATAGAGCGCAATCAATGTAAACCAAGTGAACATCCTTGAGTTATGATCTCCAGTGAGGTTGAATTTTGCAGTGCTCGCCAGGGTACAGAAGAAGCTGAACGAAAGCTGGTGGCAAGGTGCATCAATCAGGACCCTTCACACAGCCAAGGAGAGCAGCCTCTCAGGGTGAACTTGATTGATGTTTAAAAAAGAGCTGGACCAGCAGGAGGATTGTTGGACCTTCCAGCAGAAGCAGAAGCTGGCTCCCACAATGTAGCAGGCGCTTCCGGATGTCATTTGTAGATTTGCAATGGTCTGCAATGTTTTGCTCAATTGCCCATTGGCTTTGAGGCAAGGATCTCATGAGCTTCAGAGAGAACATTTTCCTGCCTGTGCTGTTCAAGCCAAAGGGCAGCTACATCCAGTTTGTGCCCAATCGATCCCAATTGAACGGATATCATCACTTTCGCTGTAAAGCGCTCCTCGCAGCTGATTTCACGAATCTTTTGGTGGTGCAGTTTGCGCAGGTACTGTATGATTTGGATCCCCAGAAGAAGCCCATCGCCTTTGCTTCTATCACTCTTTCGCAGGCGTGGGAAAGGCAACTTGTAAACCAAGCTGATGTTTGAAGTTTGTCGAGATTCAGCAAGCTTAATCAGAGTGACTAGCTTCAGTTTTTTTGAAGACTGCATTGACACATAGGTGGCTGCAGTCATAAATACTATTTTCAGATTGTTCTTCTTCGAGTAGTACCATAGAAATTATTTATTTACAGATACACAACATGTTCTCGATGTAACTTGATTCTTCAATTTCGAGTATATCAGAAAGTTGCGCTTGCTTGGGCTTGGCTCTCCTTGCCTGCACTGCAGGCACTACGCTCAAAGGGTGGCTCACTTGCAATGTCTCTGTGAGTTTGCTTGAGCTCTCGGGGTCTTCAGGGTTGAATCTGAAATCTCCAATCAGACGAACTGTTGGCACTTGCGCTAAAATGGTGACAACACATGAAATCATACGGATGTCACACACGTATACGTCCTTTTCACCTTTTGTTTGCTGCGACACTGGGTACACAGGGGAGCAGGTGCATAGAGCTAGACAAGCTGCAAGCTCACCAAAACAACCTGTCCTTGCTTTACTGATATTTCTGCTGCTTGAATTTCAAGTCGCAGACTAAACACCTAATTACTGCCAAGATTTGCTTTTGTAAGAAGTTCACAAAACATGCACCACAAACCTGGCTGAGGTGAACAGAGAATGAAACTCCAGCCCATGGAGAGTGCAAAAGGCTCCTGGCCGAAGGCTGGGGCCGCTGGGATTTGCTCAGCAGATGTTGCTCCAGATATGGCCCCGCCTCCTTCAAAAAACAGTTATGATTTGCAAACCATTGCCATTTGCAATCTGCTTTGACATCTCGGGCTTTCGTTGGGTCAAATAGAAAAATGCTCATGCATTTCAAAGCCTTTATAGTCAGATTTGCTGGGACCCTTCTTTCCAGGCCGCATCAGGCTGTTTGCCTTGGCGGCTTTCACCACAGATCATAGTGAAATTTAGGCCTGAATCTGAATTCAGTTGAATTGTACTGGACGTTTTTTTTGGCTGTGAAAGTGCAGGAGTGGGCAGCGCTTCCTTGGTTCTGTCATGATGGGGCAACCGAGGTATATTGAAGCCTTGAAAGCTATTGAGATCAAAGAAACAGCAACGGCCTTGGATGTCATTGAGTCATTGAGTAATCTTCAGTGCCAAGCAGCAGTTGACGGAGACAGGCAAAGATTCGACTTGAATTTATGAAAGAAGAGATCCGAAAAGCGGAAGAGCAGTTGGTATAGCTGGCAAACTTAACCACTATTGTCTATTGTCTAATTACATCAAGTTGTGTCAGTTCAATAAGTCTTGATGCCTTGCCTTTCCGCAGTGAGCCATTTGCCAGGATGACTTACAAAAGCAGAAAGCTACCCTTGAGCAGGAACCTGAGAGCTGACAGCTGAAGGCGCCAAGGGTGAAAATGGTGAGTGCCTTGCGGCTGGCATTAGGACTTTTGAGCTTGCATACATTCTGCCTTGAAGCCATGCCGGGCACCCTTTCCAGCATGTTTCAAGCCAACGCATGCCAAAGCTTGGACGTTCCAAAGGAAATCGCAGCACCATCACTGATCTTGAACGCGCTTTCGTGACAAGCCGCGAGAATGAGAAAAGAATAACACCATCAACTTTACTTACAACTTGCAATGCAAGCACAGCAGGAACACTGGCTCCAGGTCAAAGGAGAGATGCAATTGATGCCAAACAAATTACTGTATATAAATGAGAAAAACATGAATGATGTCATAAAGTGACATTGTGCTTTTCAAGCAGCACGACCGGAGGGGGCCTGTTCAGACAAAAGGCTCAGTGTGTGTGCCTCTTGAGGCCCGTCATGCTAACAGTTCTGCTTTTCAGCCGCGAAGTTCTGCAGCCTGGCTCCCCAAGCTTTGGCGTTTCAAGCGAATGAACGACGATTCAGCCAGAGATGACATCCATGAAACGCTTTCCGTCGGAACTAAAAGGCTTCCCCTCTTCTACAAGAATCCCCCCCAGCGCCGTCATCCGCTATGCGACGTCAGCCACCCCAGCGACAACGTTCACTAACAGTCACTAACAGGCAGAAGTCCAACGTTGCCTCCGACAACCTGCTTGTGGCCTGTATTCGGAAGTGTCCGAAAACCCTGGACAATAATTGAAGGCCGACTCGACTCACTTTCCCTTTTTGTGCTCGATCCATGTACGTTCCATGGCCTCATGCACCACATTTTCTCCATATTGTTTATTGTTACAAGCAGCAGTGCGAGTGCGTTTCGCAACCTCTCGTTCCACTCCCCCATAGAGCTGCAGTACCGAGAATGCGCTGTACCTGTCCTGTGTATAGGGAATCGCGTTTTCTGGTTCAGGAGCAATTTGAATTACTGTATGTCGGGGCGTGTCTAACCACTTGGCTGCTGTTTCGAGCCCAGCCAATGTGTCCCAAGCCTTGTAGCTATTCTGGAGGGGTCCATCACGGACACGGCCGAGGTGGCAACTAAGTCACTGGAAGAAGGGGTTCATGCCTGAACCATATGCCCCATGAACGCGGAAATATCCTTCCATGGCAGCATATGAGGTTTTATTTGCGTGCCGTTCCTGCTGCAGCTCCGCCCCAGCTTTGCCCCTGGTCCTTCCGCCTCACCAACTCAGCTCGCCTCAGACGGTATGGTCGCTTGCTGGCCCAGTGTTTGTACCGTCTTGCCCCCTGCCGTGGTCTTTTGGCAGTTCCGGCCGCCAATTTTTGTGAGCTGTTCGTCCCGCGTGTGGTGGCACGACATCGGTCGGTGGTCATCCTGCCTCCGCTGATTCAGCCGGCCGTGGAGACGCACAAGCAGCTTATGCTCTTTTTGCTCAGCTGATGTGCAGCCTTCCGGCTGATGTTGGCTATGCCATTAGTCAGATTGCAGCTGGATGTAATCCTCTCCTCTCCTCTCCCACATTGTCATCGAATCTACCCTTGTGATCCTTGTGGGCCACTTCATCAACTTGTGGATACGCACGATCCCTAATGACGGCAGCTCCAGCGCCTCCCGTTTCACCACCTCATGCGCCTCATCGCGCTTTGCTCCAAGTTGGAGTGGTTCGCACCTGAGCCAACAATGGCCTTAGGCAGGGCTGCCCTAATCAGCCTCAGTCTTGTTGCCTACTTTGGTGCACTGTGTTCTTTTCATCTGGGCACGTGTGCAGCAGCCCCAAATGCAGGCGATGCCCCAACCAGTGGTGTCGCCGCTGAGAGTCTTCTCCTTCATCTCCTGACCCTGACTGCGCATCAAGGAGCGGAGAGGCACCGGAATAACATTTTTAACCATTTGATAATCCTCAGACTTTTCTCCACGGGTTAGGCGTCAAAAAGAAAACACATGACATAGTACCCGACAGAATTACTGTACGTCAGCAGTAGTCTTTGGCCAGACATCGTTTTTTGATGTTTTTTTGAAAAAGTGATTTGACTGCAAAACATTGCAACATCGATAGGGGCCCACCCAAAACCGATACCCTCTAACATGGGTGATGGCCCACCCAAAACCGATACCCCAAAGAGGTAGATGTATACAAAAAGTTGAGACCGATAAGGTACCACCCAAATACATGCAAAGAGATGCTGAAACCTGAAAACCGATAGGGGCCCACCCAAATTATAGACGTTCTTTGCGGGTAACAAGTAATATTGTCCGACACACACATATATATATATATACATACACAGTATATATACTGTACACATAAGTAGTATCTTTGCCGCATGCCCTGGAAGATTAACACTGAACCTGAAAACCACTGGTTGATGGAGGAAGCTAGTTCCAAAGGTCCATGTTCAGGTCCCATGCTACTGATCCCGGCACACATGTGAGAGCACACGCAGACACACACTGGGGAACACACACACACACACACATACGTGCGCGCGCACACCAGAGCACACATAAAGACAACATTTGCACACAAAGATTGACATCGCGCAGCCCTGCCAGTAACACTTGTTGTCCAAAGTTGACGGTTCACTCCACTTAAACGAATCAGAGCATGCCAAAGAACACATGCCGTGAAGAGTCACTTCGGACCGCCAAAATCCGAGGGTTCCTTTTTGCCTGCCACAAAGAGCGACCACCAAGTCCACCAATGTGCACGGCGCCACAACGAGAACGTAGTCACTGAGGCAAGAAAAGCGTCCGCTCGAGCCCTGCAGTTTATGTGAGCCTGTGGCCTGTGCTGTTCAAGTGCACTTTAAAGATACCAAGAGGCATGAGTGTATTGTAAGCAGCAGCGAATTAGCCGCCCACGGACGTGAGTGCACTTGATCAAACCCAGCCTTGAACCTTACCGTAACAATCCCTGCCCTAGTGTGACCACACTTTCGGGGAATCAACAAGAAAGTTGATTAGTGTTTAAAAGCTTGTTTGGTTCCTTGGTCCCCTGTTGCCCCCTCGTTCCTTTCGCCGGTCTGTCGGTCATCCCTTTGTGGTCCTTAGGTCCGTTAGCCTTTTGTCACCTTGGTCTCCTGGTCGCCTGGTGCCTTGGTCCACTGAGTCCACTGGTCCCGTTGCTCCTCGTTCCTGGTCGTTTCAAGTCTGCTTGGCTTGGTGTCCTTCTTGCTTTGGTCTTCTGAAATCCTCATTACGGATGCTTCGACGGAGCAAGCGTAGGTGAACAGTGAAGAGTTCTTATGGGTTGGAAAGTCCGAAGGTTGAGCCGGACTCAAATCCCGCGCAGGTCTTCCGCGACAGGAGGTAGAAGTCCCTTGTTCGACCATTTCAGGGCAAAGTGAGGAACAGTTGCGCCCTTACGCTATGGTGAACCAATTGATTGTATCGTTTAGAGCAAGAACGACCGCACAATTCCAACCTTTGTTTTTGGTCAGCTGACCGACCTCGACAATGTGCCAAGACCTTGGACACCCATTGGACCAACCCACGGCAAAAGTAAAAACCGGACGGAATCATGCCATCCTCAAACCAGTGAACCAAATCGGCGCAAACTTCATACCACGCCATCACGCTTTTCTTGCCTGCTACTGCTGCGTTTGCTCGGCTCGCGCTCTTGTTTCAGAGCAGTCTTTCGCAGGCTCTTTG